GGCCAGGAGGATCTTGATCTCTTGACCTCGTGATGGGCCCACCTCGGCCTCCCAAAGTGCTGGGATTACAGGCATGAGCCACCACGCCCGGCCCACTGTCATGTTTTCAAAGCAGAGAAGCCTGAGTAATTAATAGCAAAGCGCACTGATATTAGGAGAGAAGGTGTTGGGATTACAACTGTTGCAATAAGTACCACTATGCTGTGTGGTGCAGAAAGGAAGGGCCTGGGACTGACTGGGGTAGACAGTGGATCTTGCTCTTTCATTCTTTTTCAAGTTAAAAAAAAAAATGTATGTTTACTGTAAGGAGTTAAACACTGAAAAGATAGTATGTGACTTGGAAAGTTTAGGTCCTTTATCCCAATTCCCAAGTTTAGTGAATGTTTTCTCAGATTTTTTTTTTTTTTTTTTGAGACAGGGCCTTGCTCTGACACCTAGGCTACAGTGCAGTGGTGCGATCATAGCATACTACAGCCTTGAACTCCTAGGCTCAAGCCAAATTCCTGTCTCAGCTTCCCAAGTAGCTGGGACTACAGGTGCGCACCACTATCCCTGGCTAATTTTTTTATTTTGTATAGAGATGGGGTCTCGCTATGTTGCCCAGGCTGGTCTAGACTTCCTGGGCTCAAGCAATCCTCCCACCTTTGCCTCTCAAAATGCTGATATTACAGACATGAGACACTGTGCCTAGGCTCATACTTTTTAAAAATAATACAAAACCTCATTGTCTGGTTGTATCATAACTTAATGTAACTAATACACTCCTGATGCTAGTATGGCATTTTTCAGATACACTGGCATTACAGTTATTTTCTAATTATATACACAAACCTAGTCTGTAACAAAACAGCAAATTCTTACCTTCTTGACAGTCATTATGACAAAATACAACTGGAGATGGAGTAGATTCAAGCAATGATCTGAAAAGGAAGGTTTCACTGTTACTCATCAAGCGTCTCAGTAAGATGCACATAGACCTGCTCTTTCTACATGGCCAGCACCCAATTTGTGCTCCAAAGCAGTAGTTCCAGAGTAGGATCTGTGATGTGAATTCTGACAACTGTGTCATTATGTGGCAACGGCTCCACAGCAGGTCACATCTGAAACTCCCACAGGCCCTCAGCTCTTCCCTTGCAGGCCCTTTGTATGTGCTGCTCCCTCCTGGAGCCCCTTTCTCTGCTGGTCTTGGCTTGTACAGCACCCCCTTAGCCTTTCTTTTAACAGTAACCCAAAGCAGGTCCCCTATGCAGACTAAGGGCTTACTTGGATCTGTTTCTGTCACAGCATTTAACACAATTTGACATTATTCTGTTTGTTTACTTGTTTTCCCTTAGCAGCAAATCATCATGCCTAGCAGAGGAGACACTCACATACCTGAGTAATTAAGGTATAAATAATCGTTAGTGTACAGATGTGAGTGGCCTGCACCTGGCATCACTCTGAGAATAATGATGGCCCTGCCTCAGAGATCAGCATCGAGATTCTTACTGTTTCCCGCAAAAGCCAAGGCCAGGCTGAAGTTTAAGACGAAGGGATCTTCCTCAAACTCCCTAGCCTGCCCTTACTCCCTTCTCCCCACCAGAGAAAATCCACCTGCTAGATACTCTACTGCCCTGGCCACTAAGCCACTCACTCCTTCAACATTTTCCTTCTCTATGGAACCTGCACAGACTGATTAAGGCCACATGTGGGCATTCACAGAGAACTATAATTCCAGATGACAAAACTCATCGTTTAAATTCATCCTGTAAAACCAATGTAAAATGCCGGACATAAGGCAAGCTTAATCAATGTTTACTGACAACAGTTTTAGTAACTAAGAATATTTAAAGTCAGGAAACAGAAGGAAAACTCACCTCAGGTTTTCCAGTTCCAAAGGCAGATTGTAATTGAGGAATTTGTGGAGCTTTTGAATTCTGGATTCCCCAGTAAATTTAATTCTCAGCACTTCATTTAGATATCTATTAAAAAATAAACAACAACAAAAAACCCAGAACAAAGAATCACTGATAATTCACCAAGGCTTGTTCTTGGGGCCTTGGTTAAACATTCAATCCTAGCGCAGTCACAATGCCCCTCTGACTGCCATGACTGAGGGGAAGAGGGGCAGTCTTAGGGACTCATGGCATTCTAGCAAGGCGACTTTCTGCCTCTTCACCCATTCAATAGCATTTTTGCATAAGTCTTCTTTCCTGGTTTAGGAATTGACTTTTACATGCAGGAAGACTTATCTGTGAGACAAGTATCATCAGCTGACACTCTGCATCTCAGTGAAGTAGGAAGACCTCTAACTACTGTGGCAAACAAATGCTCACTTCTGGTACTCCTGGGAGCCACCACTGTAAAACTAAGTTAGGACAAGTGATTTGACCACTTACTTTTCCATTGTGCCAAAAAGCCATTTTGGTTCCTTATTGAATGGCATTTTCATACCATGAAACGTAGCCATTTTCTCAGCAATTTCTGCAGATATATCTGGCAAACTTAATTCTTCAGTATCTAATCGCCGGCTCTGAAATAGAAAAGGGAGTTAGAAACTGACATTTACCCAAATAACCTACAAAGTGTGAGATCACACAGTCTTAGGAACGAGAAGCCAGTTTTTGTAGTGCGTTTAAATCTCACCCAATGCCCCAAATTCCCTTAAGAATGGACACTGTGTCCCCAGAGACAGTGACCCAGCAATTGCTACGGCACTTCTACAGTGAGGAACAGGCCACCTCCAAAGACCTATTTCATTCTGAACCCCTTTTAACTATGAGAAGTCCTTTCTTAAATTTTATTGAACTAAAAACTACCCTATCATCTATTATTCTGCCCTCTAAAGCCACACGGAATGTCTATTCACTACCCAGTGCTGAAGTCCATGTCTTCAGCAGTTTATCACATGGCCCAGCTCCTAGCTCCTCCATCAGCTGCGACATTCTACTCTGATGTGTTACAGGTGAGATGTCGGGTCCAGAACAGGTCCTAACTGGGAGATGTGTCACAGGCACAGGGGGGCCATCTCTAGCTGCTACCAGTGATGGTGTCAGCAGCTGGTCTGGCACAGAGCAGGTATCAAGGGCAAAGCCAGGCAAAAAAACAGACTCTAGGAAGACTGCCTTCCTCCTGGCCTCTGCGTCCCGTACTTCCCCTAAATCAGCCCGGGGCCATGCTTGTTTGGCTGCCCTTTTACAGGAGGCTCTTGGGAGCTCACAACAACTGAGACCTCTAGAGTTTCCTTATGTAACCTGCCACCCTGCAGAAACCGAGAGAGAGATTTTTGTGAAAATGCAAAGCAGTACAGCACAGGGTAAAGAGCGAATGCTCCCAACTTAGGGAAACACCATTTGAAATTGTGGCTTTAATTCTCGTTTCAAAGCTACATGGCCGTCCAAGTTACCTCATACCTCTATGTGTCCTATCAAGTGGGCATCAGGACATGAAGTCTCGTACAGAGTTGCCAGGAGAGCTGGGGGAGAGAATGCGGGTAAGATCTCTGGGATAGCACCCAGCCCAGGGTGTGGCTCAGCAAGTGGCAGATATCTGCTACTGAGAGCTAAGAGCTCACTGGAAGCATTGGGCTCAATGTTCTATTCAACTCCCTCCAGAAAGCACTGTCTCCGCAGCATTGTAAACGAATTACCATGCTGCAATAAGGACAGGGACTCCACTTCCAGCAGCAGGACACGTGGGACTTATTAAGGCAGCTCACTCAGCTTTCAAAACTGCCAATAATTGGCAACTAGAAAAATCTGGAGCTAACATGCTCAAAGGTGAACAAATCTCAGTATTCCAAATTCCTCCCTGGGCACAAAGAGAAAGAGAAACAGACTACCTACCATCCCTAGTGGCCCTACTATTCTCACATGCCCTTTGAAAGATGGCTACAGGAATAATGAAACTGAATCACCTGATCCCAAGCAGTTGTCAAGAGTAAACCTAAGCTGGAATCTGGGCATGATGGTTCATGCCTGTAATCCCAGCACTTTGGGAGGCCAAGGAGGGAGGACTGCTTGAGCCCAGGAGTTTGAGACCAGTCTGGGCAACATAGGGAGACCCCGTCTCTACAAATATTAAAATTAGTCAAATGTGGTGGCACATGCCTGTAGTCCCAGCTACTTGAGAGGCTGAGGTGAGAGGATCGCTTGAACCTGGAAGGATGAGGCTGCAGTGAGCTGAGATCAGGCCACTATACTTCAGCTTGGGCAACAGAGCAAGACCCTGTCTTAAAGAAAAAAAAAAGTAAACCTAGAAATAACATACAGTATTAGATTGAATCAAATGAAACTGCCATGCTTGTGGGTCAAAAACAGTCAAGGATTGGCAGTGTCATATGGTTCAAATCTAGTATACAATAGAATTTTTAAAAAATCTTCACTATGGGTGGGTGCAGTAGCTCACACCTGTAATCCTGGTGATGTAGGAGGCTGAGGCAGGAGAAGAGCTTGAGGCCAGGAGTTCAAGACCAGCCTGGGTAACACAGCAAGACCCATCTCTACAAAAAAAATTTCTTAAATAAGCTGGGTGTGCTGGTATGCACCTGGGGTTCTAGCTACCTGAAAGGTTAAGGCAGAAAGATCACTTGAATCCGCAAGTTCGAGGCTGCAGTGAGCTATGATTATGCCACTGCACTCCAGCCTGGGCAAGAGAATGAGACTCCCATCTCAAAAAAAAATTTAATATCAATAAACAATATATACAAAAGAGCACAGATAGAACTTAAGAACTAGAACAAAATCAATTCCACAGATACTACGATCTATGTGTCTTGATGGCTGCTCTTTTGTCCCCAAGATATTTTCATTATTCTGAATTGTGTTAACACAATTCCCTTACCTTTTCCAAAAAGAGAACTTTTACTACATGTGCATATCTTCTTAAACAATTTTAAAAATGTGTCAGGTTTTATAAAGTGGTATGATACTACTTACAGTCTCCTGCAGTTTGGTTTTATCATTCAGCATTATGTTTTTAAGATTCAACTATATTGCCACTTACAACCATATGAAGTTTTATTATTTGCAAAATTCTTTCAAAAACTTATTATCTCTTTTATTTCTCATGCCTGACAGATTTTACTGTCTTTACGGAGAAAATCAGAAATAAAAACAGCCAGGTGCCAGGGAGCAGACTAAAGGTAAAAGCTGGCACAGTAAAGGCACCATCCGCTCATCTAAACACACCCTCAGCACTGGGACCTAGCACGATGTTAGCACAGATGGACCACGCCACTGTCAACTAGAAGAGGATACCTCTTCTGGGGAGACAAAGCACAACTAGCCTCCCTGTTTCTGGGCTGTGGGATTAGACAAAAGAAACCCCTGCCCCTGGTCCCCAGCCATACACAGCAAAGCACCCCTCTGCCAGGCATCCTAGTGCTAGGCTCTGTCTGCACAGTTGTACAGGACATCCTTGGACGTGCCCAGGCCTCTCATGGACAAGACATCTCATGCATCAGGGCAGGCAAAGCTAGCGGCTTATGTCTCTAGTCCTCAAGGAGCTCATGCTCAGTTAAAACAGGGAATATTTTAACTATCTAGGAAGGGAGTGCAGGCTGATAAAGACCAGCATTGCCAACCAAACAAGCATTGCCAGGGCTCAGAGCCACACTTCAACACTTAGAGTTCATGAAAACACTTGGTCATGAAGCACTGTGCTGGGCATGGAGTTAGGGATGGGTGGGCAGAAGGACAGGAACTGTGCTTTAGATATGCACATGTAACCCTAAGACATGGTTACACTGGAAAATGTTACAGCAACATTAAAACTGCCTTGGGACAGTAAGTAAGGGAAAATAATCCTGAGTGCTTGGAAGTAAGACTGTAAGGTCTTGAAGCAAGGCCTTGAAATCTAGGAATTTGACCAGCATATGAGACAGGAAGATGGGAGGTAGGGACACTCAGTGGGAATGCACAAAACAAACCAAGGAAGGGCAATGGGATTCCGAACAGGCATGGCCCCACAGGGCTATAGCCAGAGACAGCGCAAGGTATGGTCAGGGCCAAGGTGTCCTAGCAGCAAGTTCTATAAAGCAGGACTACAGAAGTTGAGAGGAACAAGGTGAAAAGGGCAAAGTTTCAGGGTACACAGCCTCAGGGGATGATGAAATGGTACGTTCCATACATATTTCAAATTTAGATGAATACAACTTTACAGGGAAGAAAGAGGTTCTGTTATAAGTACAAAATAAATGTTGCTTTTCTCATGAAAGAGAGCTTTTCTCTGATACATAGTTTAATGACATAGGTCAGGTTAACAGTAAAAACACAGCATTACAGGTTCTTGCAGCAATGAGACAAAGAAGCCATCTTCTGTCTGTGGCATATGTCAACTGAGCATTTATGAACAAACCTTACCGGGATGAACTGTTCCAGTCGGCCTTGGGGAAAGATGCCATAGAGTTTTGGCCCGAGTGACCGCTCTGCGAGAATGGCAAACATAACGCTCTCCAGAACCATGGTCTCGGCCCCCTAAAACAGATGGCAACAAATCAGGTGTTTACTGAGTGTCTGCCATGCACCAGGCATAAGAAGCACTCCCACAGGAGCGTTTCATCTAATCCTCATGAGTATTCTTTCACATGGACACTACTGTTATCAGCGTCCCCATTTTAAATATGAAGAAACAGAGGTTCCAAAGTCACAGATCTTGTCATTTGCAGGATTCATGCTTGCAAGCACTAAACTATACTGATAAGATTTAAAATCTGAGTTGAATTTAGGTCACTAGTTCCAAAAATAGAAAAATATCCATCAGTGCTTTTATTGCTTCTATTTATTTCACAACCTATATAGGAGTCTCACCCTTGGCATCTCACCAAAGGCCGCAATACCACCCATTCTGGTGAGGGTTGATTTGTTTTTGGTTGAGTGCACCTAGTTACAGCAAAGGATCCAAAGGACCTTCTGTCTATAAATTGGACCATGGGTCCAACAAGCTTGAAAATACTGATTTAGGTTCAGGGTCTATGGCTTTCTGGTCCAAAGGGCAGCTGATCACGGAGCATCTCAGGTTTCTATTTTCAGATGGCACACCTGGCCTTTTCCTGTTACTTAATGTTTGTTATCTTGCTAAAATCTCATGATGCTGTCTGTTCTATCTTTGTCCTAATAATTACCGTAAGATCTGTCATCATTTTGCCTTCAAAATCCATGCTTTGGTCTCAAAGCAAATTCATTCCTTGGCCTTTCCCCCTTAAATAGCATAAGGGTTTCCATCAGTTGGAGTGAAAGAGTCATTCGTACCCAGAGGTGCACCTGAATCTCCTAAAGAACTTTTACAGGCCAGGCGGTGGCTCAGCCTGTAATCCCAACACTTTGGGAGGCTGGGGTAGGAGGATCACTTGAGGCCAGGAATTAGAGACCAGCCTGGGAAACATAGTGAGATGCCCCCCCACCACCAAAGTCTCTTTAAAAAAAAAAAAAAAAGCCAGGCACAGTGGCTCACGCCTGTAATCCCAGCACTTTGGGAAGCCAAGGTAGGTGGATCACGAGGTCAGGAGTTCCAAGACCAGCCTGGCCAATATAGTAAAACCCCGTCTCTAGTAAAAACACAAAAATTAGCCAGGCATGGTGGCATGCACCTGTAGTCTCAGCTAATTGGGAGGCTGAGGCAGAAGAATCGCTTGAACCCAGGAGGCAGAGGTTGCAGTGAGCTGAGATCACACCACTGCCCTCCAGCCTGGGTGACAGAGTGAGACTCCATCTCAAAAAAAATACAAATAAAAAGAGCTTTTGCAAAGAGATTCCTAGTCCTCCCCCAAGTACTGAAAAAGAGGCACCAGCAGGGCTGTTTTGAAAAAGCTTTCAGATGATTCTAATTCACCCCCTGTGAAGAAATGTGCTGTGGAGGAACATGATCCCAGAGAAATATTCTCTAATACATTCACATTACCAAAAACGGAGAAATCGAGACAATCTTATTAGGAAGTGATACAGTACTAGAGTTACTAAGCAGAAAACAAAAAAGAAAAGCTGCTTTCAAAGGATATCAGACCACATTAAAGTAAAATGTATTTCGGTCAGTTTTAAGTTTTGTGGGGGCAAATGGATTTGTCGGTAATCCCCCATAATTATCGTCTGCAACGGCCTTACCATTATCTTGTGAGGCTCAATCTTTCCTAAGTTGTGGTTTTGTGTATATATGACAATAGACAGATAACATCAAGCTATCAAGCTAATGAATTTTAGGGTGGGATTTGATATCAGACAGGTTTTATTTCTTAAAACCTTAGAAAATGACAGCAAATATCTAGTATCTCTATTTAGTAGTCAAAAGGTTTCCAACCACTTACTTAATCCTATAGTAGAGTCCAGAGGTGCAGGCCCCATCTTACTCCAAGCCCAACATCAGAGAAACTCTCTGGGGCATTTATGCAAGGGTCTGCAAAGCCTCCTCCAAGTCTCTGCTTAGACATTATGCTCCCTTGCTCCCCAGGGGGCAGCACAGCCCTGCTGCTCTGGAGACTGTGGTGCCCTACCACCCTCGTGCAGCGTCAAACACAAAAGTAAACAGGGGCTGGGCATGGCAGGACAAAGGGGTGCTGGACTCATAAGTTCAGCATTTTGCACATCACACCCACTTGGAACAAAGGATTCTCGGAGGTGACTTTATTTACATGTGGCACTGTCAACACATGTCATCAGCACAAGCCAGAATCCTCTCCACAGCTGAGTCAATATTCCCAGAAAGGGCATAGAAAAGAGGGAAAGAGACATAAAAACTTTCCAATTCTCTTTAGCATTGCCCTAAACATTGTAAACAAAAACACCTTTATTCTTACGCAATACTGTAGTTCAGTATTTATTCACAGTAGGAAGAAGGGGGGAGATGGTGTATGGAGAGAAGAATCTGGAGAGGAAGAAAAAGGGAACACCAAGGCACAAGCAAGAAAAACAACAGGTGCCGGGCGCGGTGGCTCAAGCCTGTAATCCCAGCACTTTGGGAGGCCGAGGCGGGTGGATCATGAGGTCAAGAGATCGAGACCATCCTGGTCAACATGGTGAAACCCCGTCTCTACTAAAAATACAAAAAATTAGCTGGGCATGGTGGTGCGTGCCTGTAATCCCAGCTACTCAGGAGGCTGAGGCAGAATTGCCTGAACCCAGGAGGTGGAGATTGCGGTGAGCCGAAATCGCGCCATCGCACTCCAGCCTGGGTAACATGAGTGAAACTCCGTCTCAAAAAAAAAGAAAAACGACAGGTTAAGGACAGCAGGGAATCCTAGAATGAGTGCACCAACTACTAGTAATCTTCTTGTCATCACTAAGTCTTCAGATACCTTTCTGATTGCTGCTGAAAGTGAGCATGATAGAAGGTGGGATTGGACAGACATGGCTGGGTTTTCTCCTGTACCACGCACTGGTTTAGCAACAGCCAGTGACAGTGGAGGGAAAGCTGGTCCTACCTTTTCAGAGGAGAAGATCCATATCTCAACTTGATACAATTTACTTGGGCTTGAGAAATAAAGACTCATTCACACATTTGCCCAAAACATACTTACTGAATGTCTACTATGTCCTGGCACTGTGCTAAGCACCAGGGAACCAACAAAGAACAAGACACATAAGACCTCTGCCCACAATGGGGGTTACATGACAGAGAGGGAGGGATGAAGAGAGTGAGAGAGAGAGAGAGAGAGAGAGAGAGAGAGAGAGAGAGAGAGAGAGAAAAGACAGCAAGTACATGCAGCTATGGACTGGGCTCACCCCATGAAGGTAACAAGCGTGACTGGTGTGCCAGGGTGGTTATTTCTAAGGAGGCCACACTGAACTGACCTGAGACCTGAGGTGTGAGGAGCCACGGCAGCCCCACAGGAGGGAGCACAAGGCCCTGAGGGAGGAACAAATGACGCCTTCAAGGAACTGAGAAACCTGTCTCACCGTAACAGGGCAATGGAGGAAAAAGAAGAGAACAGTGTGAGATTGCCAGGTGGGCTGGGGCTTACAGAAAGGACTGGGCCAAAGATACAAATTCGGAAGTCCTCAACATGTTGATGACATTTACAGCTCACAAACTGGGTTCGATCCCGAGGACAGAAGAGGTGGAACCAGCATAGGCCTTAGAACGCCCAACACTGACAGCAGTGGCTTTCAAACTAACTGTCGCCACAGTAAAAAAGCTTTCTACAGGGTACCTCACATATACCCCCAAAACAAACATTATCCACAGCAATTCTCACTCTCACAACTGGGCAACACTTACTAATATTTTCTACTCTATTTCATTTTAAAAAGCAATCAACGTGCTAACATTTCATGCCCCACTAGAGGTTCACAAACTACAGCTTGAAAAACTGGTTTAAGTTCAGGCAGCAAGAAGAGGGGCCAGGAGGTGAGGTGAGGCAGGTGCCACTGCCAGGAAGGAGAGTGGCATTCCCTAACAGTGCTGCTGAGTGGCCATCAGATTTGGCAATACGGAAGCTGTTGGTGACAAAAACAAGAACAGTTTCAGAGTGAGAAAACAGGTGTCAGATTGGAGCAGGTAAAGAGTGAACAGAAGCGGGAGAGAGAACTGGTTGGAAATGGAAACAAGGGGTTTAAACTGACTTTTCACTTTATCTATGAAGTTTCATTTATTTAAAACTCAGGAAGAGGCCGGGCATGGTGGCTCACACCTGTAATACCAGCACTTTGGGAGGCCAAGGCAGGCAGATCACCTGATCAGGAGTTTGAGACTAGCCTCACCAACGTGGAGAAATCCCGTCTCTACTAAAAAAAATAATTAGCTGGGCGTGGTGGCACATGCCTGTAATCCCAGCTACTTGGAAAGCTGAGGGAGGAGAATCGCATGAACTCAGCAGGCAGAGGCTGCCTGGGCAACAAGTGCAAAACTCCATCTCAAAAAAAAAAAAACAAAAAACACCCAGGAAGAAGAGCATCAATGTTATGAACCTCTTGAGAAGACATAACAGGATTTCTATGATATTTCAGCCAAAAATGCATAACCTCAATTGTGAGAAAACACTAGACAAACTGAAATTGAGGAGACATTCTCCAAAATAACATACTAATAATCTTCATAAGCATAAAGATTATAAATAACAAAAGAATTGTAACAGGTTGAAAATGACTAAAAAATAGCCAATGCAATGTTGAGATCTAGCTAAATCTTTAGACAGAATGAAAGAAAGCATGTGTGGGAAAACTTCTGAAATTCAATTCAGGTCATAGTTCAGTTACTATTATTTTTGAGATGGAGCTGCACTCTGTTGCCAGTCGCCCAGGCTGGAGTGCAGTGGTGAGATCTCGGCTCACTACAGCCTCCACCTCCTGGGTTCATGCAATTCTCCTGCCTCATGCTCCCAAGTAGCTGACTATAGGCATTCGCTACCAAGCCAGGCTAGTTTTTGTATTTTTAGTAAAGACAGGGTTTCACCCTATTGGTCAGGCTGGTCTCAAACTCCTGACCTCAAGTGCTCTGCCCACCTCGGCCTCCCAAAGTGCTGGGATTATAGGTGTTTAGTTATTAT